CCCACACACACACGCACCTCGTTGTCGTGGCAGTACACCAGGCCCGCCACGATCTGCTGCAGGAAGTACGCCGCCTCCGCCTCCCCCAGCCGCTTGCGCGCCCTCACATAGTCCAGCAGGCTGCCGGCCGGCGCGTACTCCATCACCAGGTGCAGCCGGCCCCCCGCGTCCACCACCTCAAACAGCTTGATCACGCACTCGTGGGACCCCAGCCGCTTGAGCACGCGTATCTCCCGCTGCACGCGCTTCGCCTCGCCGGCGTCTGCGAGCTTTGACCGGTCAATGACTTTGACCGCTACGCGGCGCCGCGACAGGTGGTGGACGCCCAGCCGCACCTGGCAGAACCCGCCCTCACCCACCACGCGGCCCAGGCTGTAGCCGGGCAGCAGGCACGAGTCAGCGTCGTCGGGGGCCGCCGAGCCCGGGGCCGCCGCCGCAGGTGGCGCCGCTGCCGCTGCCGAGGCAGCTGCAGCTGCAGGGGTCGCTGTGCCCGCACCTGCGGCTGCGGCTGCCACGGGGGCGGCAGAAACAGCTGCTGGTGGCATCACATGTGGTGATGAAACGGTGGGGGCGGCTGACACCGCTGTCGCCGCAGCCGCTGCGCTGGCCAGCTCCGCCGTGGTGGGGCTCCGTGTGGGCGCGCGGCTGCTGCTGGCACTGCTGCCGCCCGTACTCGCGCCGCTGCTGCCCGGCGCAAACTCGCGAGGCGGATGTGCAGGGCCTGAGTGGGCTGCGCCAGTGCTGGGCGACACTGCTGCGTGAGCAGCAGGCACAGCTTGCGAACGCAGCTTCGGAGCGGCCACCTCCACTGCGGGCGCCGGCGCCGCCGCCCGCTCCGGCCGGGACTCGTGCGCATCGCTGTACCACATACACATCTGCTCCTGCTGCCGCTGCTGCTCCTGCTGCTCTAGCTGCCTCTTTCGCTGCTGCTGCTGCTGCTGCTGTTGTTGCTGTTGCTGCTGCTGCCATTGCTGCTCTTTCTGCTGTTCCTGCTGCTGATGCTGCTGCCGCCGCTGCTGCGCCGCCACGACGGCAACCCCACTGCCGTTTTCCAGAGCCACCTGGGCGCCCACACCCTCCAGAGCAACTGGCTCCGCACGTGCCGGCGTCGCCGCGCGCAGCGGGCTGGGGCCGCTATTGCTGCCAAATGACAGCGCTCGGTAAGGGCCGGGGTCGCCGTCCCGGCGCGCCAGGGCCGCGCCTCCGCTGCTCGTGCGCGCCCCTGCGGCGGCTCCCAGAGGGCTCAGGCCGGGGCCGGCTGTGGCCGCAGCCTCCCCCTGCACCTGGGGGCTGCTGGCTGGGGAGTAGTCGCAGCTGCAGGCAGCGCCACCAAAGGAAGCCAACGAGAGGTCTGCGCTGCTCTCGGTGCCGGCCTGCGTCCAGGCTGCCGAGCCGCGCACACCAGTCAGCGTGCCGCGCGTGTCCCCGCTCGCCAGGCTCCCACCCTCCGCACTGCCGCTGCTGCGCCGCACCCCGCCGCCCGCCGAGGGGCTGCCGCCGCCGTCAGAGCGTGCGGTTCGGCCAGGGGAGGCCGTGCCCAGCGCCTGGGAGTCGGCTGTGCTGACGCGGCGCAGGCCGCCTGCGGGCGTCTGGACAAAGCGCAGCAGGCTCTGCGCTGTCGCGCCCGCACCGGGCGGCCCGCACGGCAGGCAGGAGGCATGAGGTGGGCTCGACGGCGCTGCTGCTGCCGCCCACCCTGAAGGTCCCGCTGCTGCCGCCGGCGGTGTCGGGGCGCCTGAACCGCATGGCTGCGTGGTGCACCATCCCGCACTGCTACTTGCTCGCTGCTCCAGCAGCTGCTGCTGCTGCTGCTGCTGCTGCTGCTGCTGCTGCTGCTGCTGCTGCTGCTGCTGTTGCGCGCTTACTGGCCGCTGCTGGTTGAGCAGCCCTGCGTGAAGGGGTCCCGCCGACGGGGTCCCAGCGGCGGCCGCAGGAAGGCCCTCATGGCTGTGGCGCCTCTGGACGCTGCTGCTGTGCTGAGAGCCTGCTTGCAAGGTGCCAGACGCAGCCGGCGCTGCAGTCACGCCGGCCGCCAGTACAGACACCGACGGGTCGGATGCACACCGGCCGCGCCTGAGGCTAGAGCTGAGGGGCCCCGCTGCGCCAGATGACTGCTGCGGCTGCGGCTCTGCGGGCTCAGGCGCGCTGACGCCACCGCTGAGTGGACGCTGCAGGTGCTGCGGTGCAGCCCCGCCCGCCCCGCCGCCGCCGCCGCTGCTGCTGGTGGCTCTCACAGCGCCCGACTGCTGCTGCTGCTGCTGCTGCTGCTGCTGCTGCTGCTGCTGCTGCTGCTGCTGCTGCGGCTGAGGTTGCTGCGCCACCCCAAGGCCCAAGTCCCGCAGCATCTGCTGCGCCGAAACAGCCATCCCCTTGCCAGCTGCCGCGCCCCGCGCCACCGGTGCCGCTGGCGCCGCCGCCGTTGCGGGCTCTGCGGGCGTGGACGCCGAGCTGCTGCCGGGTGAGGGCGGGGTGGCGCCGATCTGCAGGAAGGCCGACCAAGACTGGACGTCAAGATTGACGCTGGACGCCGCCTGAGCACTCGCGCCGCCCCCGGCGCCCACGTGCGAGCCCGCAGCAAAAGCGATCTCATGAGGCGGGGTGCTCTGTGGGCTTAGCAGCTCGGAACGGGGCGCTCCCCGCGCCGTCGACGGCCGTGGGCCGCTCATGCTGCTCGCGCTGCTGGCGGGGTGGAAGCTGCTGGCCGCGGTGTGCATGCTGAGGCCGCTGCAGCAGCTGCTGTCGACGAGCTGCAGCTGCAGGCCCCCTGCAGACAGCTGGCTGGACGGGCTCCGCAGCTGCAGCCCTGCTTGAGGCGCCGCCTGCGGCTGCTGCTGCGGGAACCGCCCGTCTGCCTGCGGCTGGGGCGCCCCGCCGGCTCGCTTCTGCCCCGGTGTTGACGGCTTGCTGCGCGGCCCCGCGCCGGTGGCGGGCGCATACCTGACACTGCGGTACGCCGCCGCGGCCGCCGCGGTCGCCCGCGAGACACCCAGCTGCCCCGGCCCCGCAAGCGCCTGCTGCAGCGACCCGGGGCTCTGCCGGCCGGCCTCGGGCCCAAACCCTGACCCAGGGGACGGCGGCGTGCGCGGCGGTGGGCCGGTGGGCGAGCTGGCCCCGTTGACGGCCCCACTGCCGCTGCTGTTGCTGCGGTGGAAGCTGAACGCTGGCCCGATCTGCTTGGGGCGCGGCGCGCCCGTTGGCGAGGGCGGTGTGCCACCGCCGCCGCCGCTGCCGCTGGCACCGCTGGCGCCGTAGCGCCCGCTGCTGCTGACCGCCGGGCCGGCCTTGGGGCTGTATGGGCTGGTGGGCACCAGCGCACTGCTGCCGAGCGTGCCCGTCCGGTACGGCGAGTTGGCTGCAGAGTTGAGCGCGACCATTAGGT